AATTGAACCCAGAGGGTCCCGCGCTAAGTGAAATCCGCGTTAAGTGAACAACAGAACATATGGGATTAATTCCAATAGAACCCAGCCCGACCCCCAAACTCCACTTTTTGACGACACATAACTATGTTGTAGTAAAAATTCTATCTTAACTTTATGATGGTATGAAAAAACAAGTAATATAGAAGAGGTTAGGTTAGGAAAGATAAAGGTTAACATAGGAAAAATGAAGGTTACCTAAGAGAAACTAAAAGTTAGGTGGAACACTTACGGTAGTAGAAGAGATGGGTCGGCATACGGGGATGGAGGCTGGTTCCGAGGCAGAGGGCAGATTACTGGCCCTCAGGTGAATCGCCATTACTAGGTGAATCAACATCACTGTCACTTACAGTTGTCAGGGCTTCCCTGACAAATCCCTCAAAGTCAACTTCACTTTCACTATCACTGGCTTGGGCTGGCTGTGGTGGGTTGCGGGCGAAGAACTCGGTTATGCTTTGCTGACGGCTGGTGTTGATGTTGTCGTGATACACCTTGATGTACGGCTCCATAGCCTGCACCAGTCGGGTATGGAAGACTTCATAGCGTTCATCGTCATTGTCGCGGGAAAGGACGGACTTAATTTTTTCTGGAAACTCTATGACACACTTAATATCACTATGACTTAAACTAGGTTCTTCGGTGAATGACGCACCTTCTTCCTCCTCTTCACTGGCGTGTTCTTCTTCCAACATCTCGTCGGCAGTCACTTCAGGATCTTTGATCACCTCCAGGATGTCTTCGTTGGTGGTCTCGGAGAAGCCTTCAGCTGTAATATTGAGTGCAGCTTCTCTGGCAAGGTCCACTGCTACTGCAACAGTCTGAACCTCACCAGTCACAGGTTCACTCCTCCTCTCACCTGGTATGCCATGCAACACATGTCTCCATGCGTGACGAATCGTAGCAATAGTCAGCAGATCCCATGCCTCCACCAAGAAGTCTACAGCTTGTTTAACGTTAAACTTCTTCCAAAATTGTTTGACGAGAAGTTCTTGAGTCGCCGCCTCTTGTTCCTTGTCCTCGTCGCTTTTGCTCTCGCTGTCGGTGTCACCCAGCTTACGCAACTCATCCTTGGTGTTGGTAGAGTCGTTCAGGAGCTTGAACTTCTTTGCAGAGTACGCAGCTTTCACATTGCAGATCAACTCCTGGTCCATGGGCTGGATTAATGACGTAGTGTTGGGAGGAAGGAAGACCACTTTTACGTTGGGGTGACGATCCATAAGTAGGGGCGAGTGTCCAGGTGCGTTGTCAAGGAGCAACAAAATATTGAATGGAACATTCTGTTGCTCGCAGAATTTCTGCACGTCAGGAACAAAACAGTTGTCAAACCAGAAGAGGGACAGAGAAGAGGACATCCACGCCTTACGTGCGGTTAGCCAGTGGACATTAAGCTTGTTCATGTCCATATTCTTGTAGGCGTGCGGCTTGTGGGCTTTGTGAATCACCGATAACTTTGGTTTACAGGTACCGGAGGCATTGGTGGTAAACAGGACGGTGATGCGTTCCTTCTGCAACTTCCGACCCCTTACCTTGCTGGCAGACTGGACAACGAAGGTCTTGGAAGGTAACTTTTTCCAGAAAAGACCAGATTCGTCCATGTTAAACACCTGGTCGTCACTGTACTGTCCTTCCTCCATAATCTCACGTAAAAACGGAGGAAAATCTCTAGCCGCCACACGGTCAGCACTCGCTTCCTCACCACCAATGTTGATGTTGGTGATCTTGTTCCTCTTCTTAAACCTATGCAGCCAACCAGAGGAAGCATTGAAGGGTTTGGGCTCTGCAATTCCCAGTTTACGTGTCACTGCTGCGTATAGCTCACGTGCGTACTCCTGCACTGAGCGCGTGTCCACCGCCATGTTGCGTCGCGCCTGACGCACCAAATAACTCACCAGCAAATTTTCCACTTTTGCCAGCACCCTGTTCTGGCAATACCTGATAGATGAAGCACCTGCAGACTTTGTGATTTTCATGTGCTCTTTGATCTTGGCTGCATCCTTCTTGATCGTACGAATCGTAGATTCGTTGACGCCATGCTGGCGCGCGAGATCAACTTGCCGTCTTCCTTTCTCCAAATCTTGAACAATTTGGTACTTCACCTCGTAGCTTAATGAACGTCGTGTCTTCTTTGGCTTAGTGCCGCTGGGTCCAGGTAAGGAAAGGTCTCTCTCTGGGGGCGGTGGTGGTCCGGCGGAAGCCATTTTACGGAACAATGGATGCGCGTTAACCCGGGGTGGCCTTGAGGGATGAAACTGCCGCGGCTAGGTCAAGCGTCGTCTCTCCTCCCTCCCTCCCTCCCCGGGGTGGTCACGTCATAATACTTTAAGCCAATTACAGCTAGCAGCAGAGGGGGGTAGGGATGCATGGCCAATCACAGTCCGATACGTCATATGACGTCAGTGATAACGCAACAAAGACACACACTGCGCAACCTTACCGCGCGGCTTGCCCAAGCGGAGGGAGGAGGAGGGAGAGGAGCAGGCAGGCAGGCGGGCGGGTGGCGCGTGGGCAAAATCTAAAAATAGCATCTCGAGCCGGACACTCACCGCGTATATGTGGAAAAAAATCCGTGTTAAGTGAAAGTTCAGCTCTGGCAAGGCACCGCGTATATGCGAAAACGCGCTAAGTGAAACCGCGTTAGGCGGGGTAATACTGTAATAATAATTCAGATAAAAAAAAAACTGGTTATCTACCTATTGGGCCAACTAAAATCATTCCGGACCACAGAATGCTGGACTAGAGAGGTACAACCTGTACTGCATATATTATCAATATGTTAACTAAATTTTAAAATGACTAATAATTTTAATATAAAAAATGCAAAAATATTAAAGAGCACAACTTTCTTGATATTTACTCAACTGGAAACGAATGTAAACATAGAACAGATTACTGAAATGGCAGACTAGCCCATCAGCTGATGCTCACAACAAAACGTGATGTTCATAAGGATTTCGTTAATCGAAGTTTTGTTCGTGAACCGAATTGAAGATTCTTATGGGAGGTAATTCGTTAACTAAAATTTTGTTAATCGAACCGTTCATTAACCGAGGGACCACTGTACAGTAATAATAAATGTTGGAGGTGTGTGTATCGCCGAATCAGTATTAATAACTAGGGCCCTTTTCTCAAAATTTATAAAATACATTAATGAAAATTAATGGAAATTAGAAATAATAGATTTATAAATTGCAAGAAGTTGGATGGTCCATCATTATTTTTATTTGTATTCTTTTCATAAATACTGTATACGTACATATATTAAAGAAATTCCCTGAAAATCTCTTGATTTTATACCGTGTTACTCATTAATGAGTCATCCATCATGCCACAAGTTGACTTGTGTTTCATGAACTATACACGTATGTGTAGTGATCTCTTGGTGGGGGTGCAGTCCAGTCCAGTAGGCATCAGCTTACAGTTGCCATTTCAGGATTTTTCCAAAGCAATTATCCAATAGTATTTGGGATGAAATGAGTGGGTATTCGAGCTTATTGTATTGATTTGTATACATTAAAGCCTTGACTAACGATGGTTGTAGATGTACTGTAGTAAAATTAATGTAAAAAATACTGTATGTATCTTTTAATTAATGTTATATACTGTACATACAATAGAAGTGATCAATGAATTGGTAGAGAAAAAAGTGAGACTGCCTGGGAGGCCAACGTATGTACGTATGTACTCATGGAAACAGTGTCATTTATCTTATGTACACACAGTGAATTAGCCGTGGGGTGGGGGTGGCACTTTTACTCCTCATATGACCCTTCTCCTCCGGCTGGGAGGTGGGGAGATTAACACATACAGTACCCAGGGGCACACCCTGAAATTGAATATGGGGGGGGGTTTCCAAATTACCCGGTACTGAGAAGTCTGGCAAGCGTAGCGAGCCCTTTCAGCTGTAAGCCCCCCGGAAAATTTTTTGAAATCTGACCAATATTTGACGCCATTTGCACTGAATCTTAGGAAATAATCTGAGGTTGAAGATGGTGTAATTTAGCATCCTAATCTTTGTATATAGACTTATATTACAGGATAATAGAAGTCATAAAAATTTTTTAAATATTTTATTTACACAATTTTAAAATACATGAATTTACTGCACTAAAAATAGAGTATATAATATGGTTATTACTGTACTGAATGTGTAACAATCATTAAGCATTTTAATACTTGTATATAATGACTAACTAACATTGAACACTAACAGAGCTCATAAAATTTGCTTAACAGTTTTTTTAACACCCGTAAAATACATTGCCTTTATTTTTCTGCAAGTACATTGGCAAATTTCATCTTCCTGGGATTTCTCTGTGCAAATGTGTCAATTACTTGGTTTATATCCACAGGTATATCTCGGTGCATGTGCAGTCATGTCAGGCCTGTCAGTCTCTCATTCCCCATTGTTGATCTGAGTGTTGTTTTTATTCGTTTCAGTCCACCGAATGATCTTTCTGCAGAGCATGTTGTTACTGGCAGGGTGCACAGGCCAATGAGCAGGGTCCTCACATTGGGGAACATGGAACTTGGTGTCTGGGAGAGGGTGGTTGTCAGTGTAGTTGGAAGACTGGTTGGGTCCTGTTCTTTGGCTTTGTTTTCCCACCTGACACGCCAGGTGTGTACCTCACTGTTGATGTTGCCAGGGGATGGCAAGTCTGCCCGGTAGAGGTCAACCAGCTCTTGTATTCTTCTGTTTCCCTCTGCTGGTGTCACAGTTACCAAGATGGATGGGATAATGCTGAGTCCCTGGAAGGCTTTCTGGTGCAGGTGGGTGAACCTCATCTCCAGCTGTGCTAGGGGATGATCTAGGAATGGAATGGCTACAGTTCTCTTGTAGTACAGTATTCAGCTGGTCCGTCAGCTGACATGTTGTCTCGGTGTTGTTGGCTTTTGCAGCGTCTGGGCATGGAAGGTGTGATACATACAGCCTCGCACAGCTGTTCTGCCTGACAAAACCATTCAGTTTAGTGATCATCCATGTTGTTTCGGACATCTTGTAGTGCTGCTTTAAGATAGTTAACTTCACTGATGGCCTCGACTATGTCTTTAGCCTCTGCCTGAAGGCTAGTGGTCACACCTTTCAGGTACCCTAGTGCATTGTTGGTGATCACCAGGGACACAATGAAGTCTGTGCTGGTGATGGCGAGTAGCAGGGTCTGGGCATCAGTCAGTGAGTCTGTGGACCAGATTGCAGGACCATCCTCCACAATCTTCTCCAAGCAGGCCACCACTGTGGGATGTAACTCCACAAAGGTTGCTAGGGCATCTAGGCGTTCCACCCAACGAGTACAGCACAGGTTTTTCAGTTTGTGTTTCCTTGATTCAAGCTGGGTCTCCAGGACAGCTGCCTCAAAAGCATATGCTCGTTTAGGATGTCCTTCCATAAAAGTTGAGATCCTGTCCACAGTACCCATCATATTCCTGACACTGGTGATCTGGATGGACTTAACAACAGCTAGGTTGAGGGCATGTGATGAGCAATGCTGGTAGAGGGCCCAGGGATTGGTCTCCTTAATGAAAGCTGCTGCCCCCTTGGAGCTGCCAGCCATGTTGCCAGCTTCATCATAGGCCTGACCTCTGAAATTGTTGATGTCAAGTCCATACCCTGTGATGCGGTTTGTTATCTTCTCTGCTACTATTCTGCCAGTAACCCCCGTGTCACACTCCAGAAAGTCCACCAAGTCCTCTCTGACGTAATCATCAGGGTCCACATCTCTCAACACCATGCTGAGCTGCTCCTTGCAGGCAGAGTCAGTAACCTCATCAGCTATGATGGAGAAGAATTTATTTTTCTTCATCTTCTGGAGAATGTGATCACAAATCTGTTCTCCACTAATGTGAATCAATTGATTCTGGATATTCCAAGATGTGTGCATAACATTTTTGGCAGCTGTGCTGAGGTGCATCCCCAGAACACTGTCTCCAGCCTCCACACGGAAATCAAGTTGCCATGATTGGCAGTCTGTCTCTCATCACTGGCAGCATCCCTGGTATTGTCTCTGTGGCCTCGCAGAGAAATGTTCTGACGGCCGCAGAAAATGATAGTTTTGATGATGGATTCCAGTTTCAATCTGTTTTCAATCACTCTGCTAACCAAGGCATGATTCATCTGGCTTTGAATGTCCTCCCGTTTACCCTTCATCACATCTAGGAAGTCTGAGGCCTTCGTAGTTGCCAGTTTGTGACTCTCCTGGTTATCATGGTGGGACAACTTGGTCTTGGATTTGGTGAAGCACGTCTGTGCTCGGCTGACAAGTTCCCCCTCAATACCCTGGCCAAACAGGAGGCAGTTGATACAGAAGCCACCATTTTTCAATGGACCATAAACCAGCCAAGTGTACTGTCGAAGCCAGGCATGCTGGAATTTGCGCTTCTTGCCAAATTCCTCTCTTGGTGGGAAGTTGTAGTCTACATCGGGCTTAAAACAGCTGGTGAGAAGCTGGAACTTCTTGTCTGCAGTAAGTTCCTTGTGGCCTTCCATGGAAGCATAGTGAGAAATATCAGCCTCAACAGCCACCACGCTCACTGCCTCATGATGATCTGCAATGACATAAAATACAAGAACCATTAAAACTGTTACAACACAAGTATAATTCTAGAATAATAGTATGAATATTTTTTGTAAATACTATTGATGTACTGTTGCATCTGTAAATACGAGGTACAGTAGGCTTAAGCATAAAACGGAGTAAAATGATCACATGACAGGAAGCCAGTCATCTTACCTTCGGGAAAGCACCTCCTCTTAGGCCTAGACATTTTATTCACAGCATCTTGATCGAGACCGTTTGTGTTGCTCTCACCCTCAGGCTGCAGTGGCCTGAAAGAACAAGAAAGAAAATTATTAATACGTAGCATTATTATAAATAATATTCCCTGTAACAGAGATGCCACTAATGTTATAGCAAACTATAATAATAATAATAATAATAAAATAATAATAATAATCAACCATAATGATAATAATATATGAGCATAATGCAATTATCATAGGATTATATCAATTTTTGAGTAATTGTATTATAGCTAACTATAACAGTAATAATATACCAGCACGAGACTGATTTGACAACATACCTTTTCGAGAAAAAACGATTGATAGTTGTTTGCTGACTGGTAGACATAGCATTGTTGAAGGCTGTGGCATCCAAAGTAGATGTAACTACTCCAAAAACTTCATGTGAAGTGAGGATGAGAGAAGTGGGAACATGTTCCCTGACCCAGCATGCTCGATTTCCAATGCCGTATTATCGTACGATACAGTTACAGTTGTACCCCACTTAACGCGGTCAATAGAACCCAGAGGGTCCCGCGTTAAGTGAACAACAGAACATATGGGATTAATTCCAATAGAAACCGGCCCGACCCCCAAACTCCACTTTTTGAAGACACATAACTATGTTGTAGTAAAAATAACATCTTAATTTTATGATGGTACATGCACACAATTAATACTTAAGAGAAATAGAGAAATACAGTCGCCAAGTTAATGTCCATTCAAATAATGGACTCAACTCCCTCCCCCTCTTCTCACACTACACTGCCGGCTCTTCCCTCTGAGAAATTTTTGGGGGAAAACTACTAAATTTTAATAAATAATACCTCAAACTAAAGTTAGGATAATACAATTGACATTGCTGGATTCCTTGTAAGACCAGGAATATTTTGAATATAAATGTCATATATTTTGCACAAAAGATAACAAATTTACTAGAGAAAACATTTTATCTAAAATTTGTATGTCTAATGCAAAATATATGATGTTTATATTCAAAATGATCACCAAATTATAAGAATTCCAGCAATGTAAATTATATTCTGGCCGGGTAATTTGTATGAATTTTATGAGCTAAAACAGGCAGGGTGGCGGGTGGGGCAAATCTAAAAATAGCCTCTCGAGCCGGACACTCACCGCGTATATGTGGAAAAAATCCGTGTTAAGTGAAAGTTCAGCTCTGGCGAGGCACCGCGTATATGAAAAAACGCGTTAAGTGAAACCGCGTTAGGCGGGGTAATACTGTATTTGAAGCACACTTGCAAAATCATCAAATATGTGAAAGTGGATGAAAAAATAATTTATAAATATGCAAAATCTATAGAAAATAAACAATGTAGATGAGAAAATGAAAAAAAAATTAAATCTCAATATTTCACACTGTCTGGCAGTGCAGTGCTGTATATTAAGTGCATTCAGGTGCATGGGAATGGCAGAGGTGGTGGAAGTTACCGTGGCGTGGGGTGAGGTCAGGTCAGGTAAGCTGACCCAACCTTCGTGTTACTAAGGTATCGTCAGGTCAGGTATGGGTTGGCCGCACCATGCAGTACCTGGAGGGGGGGTTTCCGGGCAACCAGGAAACCCCCCTGGGTGCGCCACTGGTGCCTAAGGATAAAGGCAGAAGGGTTTTATTGTTTTGCTTATAAAATGTAACTGACTTGACTTGGAAGAATATAACTTGCAATGCTGAAATTCTTATAAGATAGCGACTAATTTGAGTATAAACATCCATTATTTTGTACCATACATAATAATTTTAGTAATTAAGTTAGTACAATACATTTGAGTACAGGTTGTGATAATTTATGTGGTTGCAGTTTCTAAGCTTCGTGACATCACTCGTGTATAATGAGTCTCCATATGCCGTGGTTTATTCATTGATCAGTTGTCTAAGTGCAAAGGTAGCCCAGTCGAGCCATCATGTATCAATTAATTTTGAAAATAGAAATTATAATGTAAAATGTTATAAGACAATGGTTTTATAAACGCCTTGGTTAAGGATGTTCAGGTGACGGGCAAGTTGAAGGGAATGATTGAAACACGTCTTTTGATGCATTCAATATTTATTGATGTGGTCAAAACCTGCAGAGAACAAGGCGTTCATTAGTATTACATGGTGATCTATCTCATACATAATTAGTTAGTCTGACACAATTTATCTTAATTATAATTGATTATTGAGCATAGTGACATGATACAAAGTTCATAACTCTATTAATCTTAGCTACACTTCATTCCGCGTTGTCTTATTGCTCCAGTTAAGGCAGGATCGAGTAGGCATAATTAGTCCACAATATTTCAGTACTGAGGGGTATGTCACCACTTTGGCTGTACTTACAAGTGCGGGTCAATGCGAACCAGTATGGTGTTCCAAGGGAAAATAGTACAGTGATCCCTCGGTTAACGTGTGCCTCAGTTAACGAGATTTCGGTTAACGAGTTACCGTATTTTTCGGCTTAGAAGACGCTGCACCGTGGAAGACACACCCTGATTTTGGAAATTAAATTCTAAAAAAAAAATTTTTCAGGTATTAGCCCACCTTGGCACAGGTCACTGACCCACATTGGGGCCTAGGGGGCGAAAATGTAATAATAATAAAAAATAATAATAATAATAATAAATACAAAAATGAAAAAAAAATCAAGAGTGAGAAACACTATACCTGTATGTATGTTGTGTTGTCAAAGTAAGAGAAACAATTGAGACCCTGCAATTGTGTGTAAATGTGGCAGAAAGTCAGATCAGCAACCTGGGACTTGGTCACAATTTTCGTGATGCCATATGGCAGCAGGGTCTACCAATATCTTCCCAGGCAGTAGTACCCGGTACCTCCCTACTACCGACACCAGTGAAACCACCAGTGAAACCGTTGCTGGATAATTATACAGCCCTTTTGGCACAAGTACACACACCTCTTTGAATATCATCACTTAGAACTGCTTATCAGTCGTCATTTTCATCAATTTAAAAAAAAATCTGTATAAGAAGGTGAAATCTTGAATACAGCACTCATTTTATACACTTGGTCACCTCCACGTCTTAGGGGCTGTAGTGTTTACATTGTTTCTCTTGTTTTTGTCGGTATGACAACGACGGGAAATATTTTCCAACAGTAGAAGGTAAGCAAATGTAAACATGTATATCAACGTCTATATAAAACAAAAAATCCTTATTTAAAAGCAAAATAAAAGTAAAAAAACAACACGTTTTATTCAAAACCAGTGACAGATTGGTTCTACATACAGTATTACCCCGCTTTACGCAGTTTCACTTTCCGCGATTTCTCATTTACGTGGTACCTCGCCAGAACCGGACTTTCACTTTCCGCGGTGCATCTATCCATATACGCGCAGAGTGTCTGGCTCGACGTTATTTTTAGATTCGACCCTCCTGCCTTCTCCCGCCTGGGCAAGCCGCGCGATAAGGTTGCGCAGTGCATGTCTCTGTTGCGTTATCAGTGTCATCATATGACGTATCGGACTGTGATTGGGCCATGCATCCTTACCTCCCTCCGCTGCTAGCTGTGATTGGTTTAAAATAATATGACGTGTCCACCTGCAGGAGGGAGGGAGGAAAGACGACGCTTGACCTAGCCGCGGCAGTTTCATCCCTCCAGGCCACACCGTGCATCCGTTGTTCTGTAAAATGGCTTCTGCCGGACCACCGCCCCCAGAGAGAAACCTTTCCTTACCTGGACCCAGCTGCCCTTTGTCAAAGAAGATACGACGTTCCCTAAGCTACGAAGTGAAATACAAGATAATTCAAGATTTGGAGAAAGGAACACGTCAAGCTGATCTCGCGCACCAGCATGGAGTCAACGAATCTACGATTCATACCATTAAGAAGGATGCAGCCAAGATCAAAGAACACATGAGAATCACAAAGTCTGCTGGTGCTTCAATGATCAAGTATTGCCAGAACAAGGTGCTGCTAAAGGTGGAAAATTTGCTGGCGAGTTACTTGATTCGTCAGGCGCGACGCAACATGGCGGTGGACACGCGATCCGTTCAAGAGAACGCCCGT